CCTTGGCTTAGGGGCTCCCATGGCTGACAGCACTTCCTTATCTCCTCTGGCTGCTCTGCCAGGCTCCAGGGGTGCCTCAATCATTTCATTTACAGTGCAGCTGGGAGCTGTCTTGTCTTCTGCTGGGCATTTTCCCTGCCTCACACAGACCATGAAATGAGTGGCAGATTCTATTCAAGATAATTTTGATACAGCTGGCAACAAGCAGCACATTCTCTAATCATCTGCAGCTCCCTCCTTGGGTTTTTCCTCTTCATTTTGTGCTTGGACAGGGGAGATGTTACAGAGCAACATTAAAATGGATAATGGGAGAATTTGCTTCCTAATTGTCTGACTGGGCAGTTCCACCTCTTCTTGCTGATTTTGAGCCTCAGCTTCACCTCCTTGGCTGCAGTCCCTGTCTTGCCTTTTAAAAGCACTTGGAGTCTTTCTGAATAAAACCTTAATAAAGAATCAGCCTTTGTTGTTTCCCAGTTGCAGCAGGGTTCTGGAGCCTTTCATTAATCTGTCACTCATTCTGACTTTTCTAATAATTAGTCCAAGTGAGGGGGGGAAAAAAGCAATCTGCCATTGTTACCAGAATAAGAGCTGGGTGTTCCATCCACAGCTTTAATTTGGAGTTTTATTTTCATTATCTTCATAGTTTTGACCCACCTGGCAAAATGTCTTCTGGGATGTCCTGTGAGTTCCTGGTAACATTTAAGCCAATGGTAAGTGCACAGTGAGGAGAACCCTAGTAAAGGCCACTAGTCTGATTAAAACCATTATTAACTGAATTTCTTAATGGTTAACAAGAAAAAAAACCCTACATTTTTAGAAGAGCTACTGTTGCACAGGGACAGCTGTGTGCATGTTCAAGCTCTGATAAATTGTCATAAGGCAAATTCTGAGGACATGTTTGGAAAAATGCCTCCAAATGAGAGCAAGTTTCCAAATATTTATAATCTTGCCCAGCTCAAGTTAACCAAGCTGTCACAAAGACTGTTTTAAAGTGGAAACATGGAATCAGTAAAGATAAATTTTAATATGGTACTCAAAGAATGAGTGAAAATATTTTTCATCAGGCTAAATCTTCTGAAATTACTTAGGGTTTTTTTTTCTGTTTTGTTTTCTAGATAAATAAAGGGCTGGAAGGAGCAATCATGTTTATGGCCCAGACAGGTTCTTTTTCTGTTCCACTGAAATGCACGGTCAAAACCTGCATGGTAAGAGACTTCTTTTAAGCATGTAGATAATATAATTATTATTATAAAAAGCTGATGCTCACTTAATTGACATTAGTGCTGTGTAGGCCAGTGGTAATTAATGGTTTGTTTTCTCACAGCTGGCTCTGGATAAGGAGCTCATTGACTTTGGCAGCCTTGTGGTGGGAGAGACAATTTCACGGCCCATCACCCTGACAAACAGCGGCGCTCTGGGAGCCACATTCCGAGTCTGGGCGTCACCAGGTGCCACAAGTTCCCTCAGAGCAGCAGCAAAAGCTGCTCCTGCTATCGTGGTGCGTTCAAAAGCACTTCCCTGAAGGAATAGAAATGTTCTGCTTTGGAAATGTGGTGCAGTTTGTGCAGTTTGTGCAGAGTCACAAAGCAGCTCAGGTCAGAAAGGACTTGGGAAGTTCATCACATCCAACCTTTAGTACATTTGGGTTGCTGTAAATATAATCTGTTAGACCCAAATATTGGAAGGTAAAAGCAATTCTCTTGTGAGGCATGGGGAAACCAGCAATGCTGATTTTTTAAAGTATTTTAGTAATTTGTGTCACGATTCCCATTTTCTCCACATTCCTGACAATTAGGAGTAAATACTTCAGTTAAAAGAGGAGATTCTGACAGAGTCATTAAAAATCTCAACTCGTGGAAGGCAGAAACATGTGAACTGCTGCAAAACTAGCAATCAAGTGAGGGGTGTGATAAAGAGAGGGCTGGTTTCACCAGACTTAGTTTTGACATAAAACTGCCTGGGTTTCCACTAGAAAAATGTTGGTTTTGTTAATTGTAAAGTAACTGGCATTGCACTGCACTGCTCCTGTTCCATTATTTACCTGTTTGGGGCAGCCAGCAAAAAATCCAATCTGCTCATTGATAAAGGTCTGGTAGAATGTGCAGTTCTTGGAAAGTGCAACACATTTCTCCATTTATAACATGGAACTGTTTTAAGAAAACACAAATCTGGTTTGCATAAAACTTTTGCTGGGTCGAACTGGAGCTGGTGCAAGGCAGAGGAGCAGCCATGGGAGAAAATCCCTCTCTGTGTTTCCCAATAGGTCACTGAATATCCCAGTGACTCTGAAGAGGAAAAGGAAGGCAGCACAGGCCCTGTGGCAGCTGGGGATCCAAACCAGAGCTGTGCTGAGCCCAGGGAGGGAATGACCCCCAGTGCAGCCCAGGAGCCCAAGAGAAGCAGTGCCACAGGTGAGGTGATGCTGTGGAACCCAGGCCAGGCTTTAGCCAGCTTCATCTCCTGGAAAGGACTGAGCAGTTCAGTTTGCAAAGTTACCCAGTAAATGGAGTAGCTCATCACTGCAGGAGTAATGTTAGATTTCTTTGTGTGCTGCCTCACGGAAAATGACTAAAAATAATGTTTGACACCATTATATCAAAAGCAGCAGAGAACCTCAGTGCTCATTAGTGATCAACAATTCAGACTCAGAAGAACACAGAACCCAACCAGCTTCAGAAATTGCAAAATTGTTAACATCATCCCTGTCTCAGCAACTGAATCCCCACTTCTCAGAATAGCAATCCACATGACAGGTTTATTTTTATAGTCTGTAATTCTAGGAACAAGGAAGCAGAAAGATGAACCTCCTCAGACATTTTCCATCTCATTCCTAATGTTTACTATGTGCTTAATAAAATCCAGTCTTGTAGATGAAAAACTTTCTTAATTTGCTTCTTATCTGTGTTCTTTAACATATCTCCCCAATACTGATTCCAATTTCAGGAAGCTGAAGGTTCCATGGGAAGGCTGTGGGTGGTTTTTGCAGGTCCTTCTGGCTGCATTCCTTTATCCCACTGAAATTGCTCTTGAAGGCCATCCCCACTGCAGCTGAGTCTGTATTTTTGAACCATTCATGTTGTTACTCAGTGGAAGGCTCCAAATTAGACTAAAGCTGGATGGCCAAACAAATATTTCCTTGCAGACATTCAGATTTTGCCATCACAGCTATACATGCCTGGATTTGCAATATTGACTCAAATTAATGTACTTGTGCCTTGTTGGATATTGTTTGTTGGACATCCAGCGTTTTATTTTGTTTTGTGTTTGTTTCTTTCCCCAGAACAACTTGGTCCAGGAGAATTAAATACCAGATCACATCTGGACAGAGACAATGAAGATAATTTAATGGAAGTTTCTCCTGAAGAAATACCAGTTGAAATTATGCTTGGAAAGGTAATGAACGTCCTGAGATCCAGACAAGATCTCACTAGGCTGAGCCTGCATCAAATAAATTGCTCAAGTACATGGTCATTCCAAGCCCACTGGACATCACTGTATCACAGTTAATTCTTAAAATGAAATCACAGCACTTTCCCCCTTTCTTTTGATCTATAGAGACAGAAGGTTTGATCTATAGAGACAAAAGGTTTAACTTTTTGTTCTAAAAAAGGTTAAGACCTTTTAACAGAACTTTTTGTGGCAATTCACATTTGCCACAATTCGTTCTTTTTTTCTGCTATGTGGTTCTGGGGTTAAACAAAGTCTGGTGGCAACAGACAAGGAGGGGCAGGAAGAATTTCTGGGAAATGTCAGATTTGAGCCATTTTATTGCTCTGATTCTGATTTTTCCTGTGCATAGAGAGTTCAGTTTAGTTCCAAAGCAGGTCTAGTGGAGTGTGTATGCAGTGATTATGTACAGCCCCTTTATTTCTGTGCAATTCCTAGAGTTTCACTGTTGTTGCTCAGGTGACTGAGGGTGAGATTGGACCCTTCAGCTCAGTGAAAATCCCAGTGCTGTTTGTCCCAGCTGTCCCTGGGGACGTGAGGGCAGAGTTTGTGATCCTGTTTGACAACCCAGACTGCAAACCAGTGAGTGACCTCCTTCAAACCATGTGGGAAATAGTTTAAAATCTACTCATTTGTGTGCTTCTCAAGATTTATGTGTTAGGTGGTTTTATGGGAGTCATAGCTCTTATTTCTGATGCAGGATGTTTATTATATTATATATAATATATTATAATATTATATATTATTATACCTGCTAATTCTCTTAATTTCTATGCAAATAATCCTGATATTCCCATTTGATCAGACATCCTCTTGGAAAACATCTCATGTCCTGGAAATAAATGGGGAAATATTCTCCCTTATTCCCAACCCACCTAGTTTATTTTCTTTCTGATCTATCAGAATTGGAATTATTTAAGAGGCAGTAGTGAAGCTGATGTGTGAAAGCTGGAAGAGATGACAACTTTAGTTACCACTTCAGCATATTGTGATTCTCAATTTTATTGGGAGCCAAATTCTCCTTGGAACAGTTCACAGCAGCTTGCCAAAAATGAAAGACAAAGTTCCCAGCAGCTCAGCAGCCACTCTTGGCTGTCCCTTGGGCTGCAGAAGGAGCTGCAGATCCTGCTGTGAGATCCTTCTGCAGGCCCAGCCTTGCAGGCTGAGCTCTGTGGGCCCTGGGGCCAGACTGGGCACTGCAGGGAGCACAGCCCTGTGCTGCAATCCCTGCATGTGTGTGCTGCAATCCCTGCATGTGTGTGCTGCAATCCCTGCATGTCTGTGCTGCAGTCCCTGCATGTCTGTGCTGCAATCCCTGCAGTTCTGTGCTGCAATCCCTGCAGGTCTGTGCTATAATCCCTGCATGTGTGTGCTATAATCCCTGCATGTGTGTGCTGCAATCCCTGCAGGTCTGTGCTGCCTCTCCTGCATTTCTGTGCTGCAATCCCTGCAGTTCTGTGCTGCAATCCCTGCATTTCTGTGCTGCCTCTCCTGCATGTCTGTGCTATAATCCCTGCATGTGTGTGCTGCAATCCCTGCATGTGTGTGCTGCAATCCCTGCATTTCTGTGCTGCAATCCCTGCATGTCTGTGCTGCCTCTCCTGCATGTCTGTGCTATAATCCCTGCATTTCTGTGCTGCTCCCCTGCATGTCTGTGCTGCAATCCCTGCA